GAGAGAGAGAGAGAGAGAGAGAGAGAGAGAGAGAGAGAGCGAGAGCGAGAGAGAGAGAGAGAGCGAGAGTTAGAGCGCGCGTAAAAGAGCGAGAGAGAGAGCAAGAGATAGAGAGGGCAGAGAGGCTGAGGAGAGAAGACCAGTGTCCAGCCGTGGGACCGGTTCACTCACCATGTCGGAAACCTTCAGAACGCCGGAAGCAAACACCACCGCATTGGGTGGGGTCGCTGCCGGAAGCATGAACGAGAACGAGGCTGCGATCGTCGCCGGATATAGCAGGAACATCGGATGTACGTTCATAGTAATCGCCTGCCGAGGAAACAGTACGGAATGCTACATGAACGTGGTTACGTCACCGTAAATAGTAAAAGTATAAATAACAAAAATTTCCACTTTTTCACAAAATGTAAGTAATTCTGTTCCCTTTTTATGGTTAAATTGTTGCATTATACTTCCTATTTTACTATATTGTTCGATGTAAACATACACTCTTGACTCAAACATAGCCCTTAGCAAGCAATTAATGTCAGGATCATAATATCAAATCGTCCAGGTTTTTTGGATTTTTAACTAGTTGAGAAACAATCTTATCAGGTAAGAATTTGACGATACATTTAGTCCCGTTAGTACTTACTTTTAATGTAAAAAAATTGCGACAAATCTTTAAATATACACCATAGAACATTCGTGACGTAGTCAATTTAACGTGGTGTAATAGAAGGAGAGGACAGGCTAGGTTGCCTAGGTTGCTGCTTACTATACCTAGTTCATACGCGCAATAACCGTGTTAGGATCGTAATAAATGCTGACTATTCGTGTTCCTGATGACTATTCCAGCTGTAGTGTCACTTTCTTTCACGTTCGCCAACAACAGACAACGTAGAACTCACAGAGAGTGTTTTCCCCCTTCTTCCTCTCTCCCCTCCCCTTCCCCCTATTCCTCCCTCTCCCCCTCTCCCCTCCCCTGCTCCCTCTCTCCCCCTCCCCCGTCTCTCACCAGGCTGGGCATGAGCGGCAGCATGATGTTAGCGGTGGCTGTGTTGCTGGCGACCCTCCTCTCCCACTCCTTCTCCCCTCCTCCTCCCCATGTCCCCTTCCCCTCCCTTTGCCCTCCCCCTCTCCCCCTCTCCCCTTCTCCCCCTCTCCCCCTCCCCCGTCTCTCACCAGGCTGGGCATGAGCGGCAGCATGATGTTGGCGGTGGCTGTGTTACTGGCGACCTCTGTGATGGAAGCGATGAGAATGCAGACGACAAGAACGACAACCCAGTTCGGCAGGCCGCTCAGCTGATCTAGACCTGCCGCCACCCACGCGCTCAGTCCCGATTGCTGTTCGACGGACACACCCACGACGACGACGACGACGATGGTGGCGATGATGACAAAGGCGACGACGACAACGACAGAATACGGATTATAAATTAGATATTGAGATTAGTATTATAATAATTATTATTAATAATAATAATAATAATATTGTAATTATTGTTATTATCATCATCATCATCATAATTATTATTATTATAACTGTTATTAATTTTAAACGAGCGCTTGCATAGTGTGATAGTTTCTGGCAAACAGTAAGACTAGACTGTCATTGACCGTCGTTTGTAGCATGCTAACCTGTACGCCCTTCGCCAACGCGAAGCCTCCGCCCATGAGGAAAACGACGTCCCAGGGCAGTTTAACCTGCAGGGCCTTCCAATCCAAGATGGCCGGCTTTGGACCCGCCGATGACGTGTCTGTAACAGTACATCGTAAGCGCTGACGTGGTGTGTGTGTGTGTATGTGTGTGTGTGTGTGTGTGTGTGTGTGTGTGTGTGTGTGTGTG